CACCCCCCCACCCCCCTCCAAATTCCTTAAGCTTTCCATTGTCTCTCTCCCCACCTCTACTCCAGATTTCCATTCCCACCACTCTTTAACGCCTGCTTCTCTTCCACTCTTGACTCCAGAACCCAATTTCAGCTGTTATTGAGGAAAAAGCCAGTTTCCAAACTGCCTCCAGGTAACTACTAAGTACAGACGCTCTTTCACAAAGATCTACACGAGGAACAACAAACAGTCAGGTTTTCTTCCTATGACAGGAATTACAAGTGACACCATGAAAGTCTAAACCCACAGCTTTCCTAGCCGGTCATTAATAGCGGTATTGTTTTCTGAATGCCAGACTTCGGACTTGAGAACCCAGATACAAGCTGAAGACCTCAGGAGCTGTGTGGCCTAGGTATTTTACATTGGGCAACAGAAATAAATCTGAAATGCCTGTCTTGTCTCTTCTGGTGTCTTCTTTTAAAGCAGGAATGATACTCTCCCATACAAAGGAACAGTGATATAACAAATCCATGTTTTGAAACACTTAGGCCCACTGATAAGTGATGCAGAATTACGGTATCCTTAAAGGGATTTTTCATTTAATCTCTGCCCTAAAGACAGTGTATGGTACGTAAGACCACACCCAGACAGCTCTTCGACTACCACCATCTGGTCTGTGCACTAAGCGAAGCTGGTTACAGGCCAGAGAAACGCACCCAACTGTGACACTCGCTGTCTGCAGGAGGTAGTGTGAAGCCCCTCTTTCCCCAAGTTGAACCCGGGTCTCCCAGATGCCTGGCAAACACCAGTGCCTGCGCTGCTGCCTGCTTTGGGACGGAGCTCACGAGAGATTACTTGGGGTTTATCTTGCAATTCTCACAATCTGTTGTTGGCAGGGGAGACAGCGAACATTTCTGCAAATGCATGTTATCTGGCCTCCTCTAGACTTGCTATCTCAACGCTCCCAGTGAAGTACTGTTGGTTCCTTTCCTTCGATGAATGAGGCACAGGGAATTGGTTTGCCTGAGATTACCATGGAAATCAGTAAGAGACCTAACCCGCCTGTCTTCTGAACCCAGGGGGACTGCTGAAGTCACTCAGTGCTTCTTCCTCCAGACTTGAAAGCTCGTGAAATTAATTCCTTCATACTGTAAATACATTTGACACCGTGCCTTCAAAAAGAAAATAATTTTGATTCCGTATGGTTTTGCTGGGAAACACCTGTAGCCAAGGCCAGAGACGCTGTCCATCTTCTCTCTAAAATTACACCTGAGTCTGCAGTTTTTCTGGTGTTCACATGGAATTATTTAATGAAACTCTTCACTTTTCCTCAAGATCATTACTTTCTAGCAGATAGTGCCTTCTAGTGGGCACACTCTCACTAATAGAAGGAACACTACTCAGATTAATTATTCGGTTACCTTTAATACACCAGTTCAGATGTTAGGACTTTAATGAGCCACATGCTGCTATGAAATGTGGTTATTACACGAGACACTGAGGCTTTGTTTACAATTAAGAAAATTAATAGAATACACAAATCCCTTCCTGAGCTGTAAGCCTGACTGTGTTTTGAAAAGACCTGATGCTCACTGAGGGTTTTTTTTCTGCCTCCAATGTAGAGTTAATGAAATTAGGTCATTAGGAAAACAAAGCACGGGAATAGAGACTTCTTATAAGCACTCTGAGATAAAAAAGGTTAAACAGGAACTGGCTCTCTGAAAAATGCACGTCTTAATAGGAAGTGTTATTTCATGTCATTTTGCTACAGACCTGACATTTTTATTTATCAAGCTCTTGTATTTAGATACATATGTAAATAACTCTTCAGTTTACAAAGCTGTGGAATATACAATTGCTTGAGAGATTAAATCCTGTTCAAAATAGCAACTGGAGAAGTGATGGAGTTGAGTGTTTCCCAAGTCTCAGATTCACAGGCGTTCATATGACAAGTCTGGATGGAAGACGCGTGACACTGTCGTGGAAGCCCCCATACAGATAGGGAAAACAGAGCAAAATAATCCATCCTCTTATGGGCAAAATGGAGAAAACAGGCAAAGGACTACCTGAAAAGTGGAGGCAAAAGAGAAAAATTACTTAAGGCTTCACAGCAGATCAGTGGCTGAGACAGGCCTTAGATTTAAATCTTTCTTAAGTGACCTGCAAAAACCACTTGCCTGTGTCCCAAAACAGGTAGGCAGGCAGGTGTACCTGCAAAATAACGATCTGCTCCTTCACATCTGAATTCCCTTAAGAATTTAGATCAGAAAAACACATGCTGCATAGTCTTCAGCCAAAGGTATCCCACATTGTGATGCAGCATAGCGCTTGGTTTTATGTAGGTGTCAAGTGGAGAAATGTTTGTCCAAATGCCATCTCATGAGCACACGGGAGTATCATCAGCTCAGGTGGGTGGATTACGGACAGACCTGCCTGGTTTTCTGCCAGCTGACATTTCCAGTTGCTCGGGCTCAACGTAATTCACCTACAGGGCACCTCAGTTTTTACTTGTAACATTCTTCCTCAGTCCAATTTCTCCTTCTCTAAGCAAATGAATTTCCCCAACAGATAAAAGTTTCTGATTCCCACACAGCTCTAATAAATATTTCACTTATTTCTGTTGCAGACATGTTTGGTTTTGAAGACCAGATCCTTCTCTCTTTAAAGCATCTTAGGGAGGCTTTTTGCATCTTACACTGCACCGCCACGCTGGAGGAAATCACTGCATTCAGCTGTTCTCTATCCACTGGCACAGAAATATCAGTTCCTTAGGAGCAACACAGGAAGGTTTCCAGGAAGTTTTTGTTCATTCATTTATTTTTACCACCAGATTGACAAGTCAGGAGGCCAAGGATATCCAGGACAGACATTGTGTAATTTGGGAAAACTGAAGTAACTGATAAAACAGATGAAAAAAAGAGACAAACTTAGTGACAAGACATGAGGCTAGCTGCTAGTTTCTAGGCATTTAAGACCCCACATTTGGAGACTTTGTGTGATGAAGTGCCCACCATGGTCTGAGATCGGACATATAACACATCCCAGGGGCAATAACGAAGGAGCGTTCGTTAGCTTCCCAAGAGGCTGCTCAGCAGAAGAACAGCAATTAATTTAGCTTGCCAACGGCTATCAAAGAGAAGTTTTGTATCATACAACAGGTGCCCGATTCAGTTGTTAGACTGTAAGAGGCTGAAGCTCAGCCAAATCCTCTCTTCAAAACATGTTCACTCTAAAAAGTATTCTTTAGAGCTAGAAGGCAATAAGAAAAAAAATCAAAGAGCACTGTGATAGTTAAATATCTAAGTCCCCAAAGTGCAAATGTCATTGATTGTTGTGAACAGATTGATTCTGCAAGGCCTTTGTTCACTCCTGAAATACTAGAAAGGACCCTTCAAG